AAACGGTTGTGCGGTCATGATATATTTCTTCATCCAGGAGACTAAAAAAAAAAAACCACATGAAGAAACAGTATCTGTGCTGAATTTGTACCGTAAAAACGTCTCTTCTTCTGGTAGTACACAATGCTAGGTGCTCGTCAGTCAAAACGTCGCGCATGGTTGTTAATTAAGGACTTGACTGCGATTTGCAATTGAACGAAAAAAAAAGAAAAAAAAAAAGAAAAAAAAAAGAAAAAAGCCAGGCCGGAATTTCATCTCGGGTATTTCATTTGGAAACTTCGAGTAATAATTCACATATCCGAGGGAGGAACCAACGTTGTAGACAACGTACGTAACCAACGGAGCACTACCACCACTTTTAGCGTTGCTGCATTTAGCTCAAATTTTCCTGTTGTATTTTGGGGGCTATCTTTAAGGGAAGGGAGAAGCAGGAAAAAGTAAGGGGGATAGAAAAAGAGGGGGGGGGGATTTGCTTGGACTTTAAGTTCTAGACGGGGGGGTAGCTTATTTGAGAAGTGGCCTAATAGTGCGGGAGTTTATTGGACAGACATTGGTATTTTCGTCAAATTTAATTTTGGTCAGACTCAGGAAGACTAACAAATTAAGGGTGCTTATTTAGATCCTCGTTTATGTTTCCAACGTATTAAAAAAAAAGGAAAAACAGATTAGTTGAGATCGTCTGGACACGGGAGGGGAAGAGCCAGGTATGGTTGTAGGATGCACATGTTTCCAACACATAGGCTTCTTACGTTGTTGACCTGAAAAAAGAATTATCTCGCGAGGGAGAAATGGGTGAGGGTTGCCCAGGACAACCCCCTCATTTCGCCTTTCAGTAGAAGGTGATATTCATAACTCTAATAAAGCTGAGCAAAAGACAAAAAATAAAGATTTCTCACATTTCAAACATGGGAGAATATATGCTTTTATAACATGCTATCAATTCATTTTTTATAGCTAAATAATTACAATTGTTTGCTTATAACATCGTAGTCGACCTAACCTTGTAGGTGGTTTTAATAGCCGTGTGCTGACCGGTGCTTTCCTCAAACCGTACGTAGTTTTGATAATAAACAAAATTTGAAATAAAAACACATGCAAACTCCAGCACACCCTCACATATAAAAATTATCTCCCTCTTTAGTCATATTAACTGATGCCATTTTTGTTTCTTCAAGCCCCGAGCAAGAAGACGATAGAGAAAATAAACAGAGAGAAACTATTCGTTTCTGTTTACACAGCTTTGCTATAATAAAACATAGATAAAAGTGTATATAAAATAATGAATGCATGAAGGACAGATCTTTTTTTTTTTACTACCTTTAGTTTTTTTTAATATTACTGTCTTCCTCTTTCAATGAAAGTTGTTGGAAAGGAAATCAAACCCTTGTTGGTTAGAAAAGCTTTCGAAAAACACCTATTATGTATTACTTTAACAGTGAAAAAATTTCCCATAAAATGTACACGTTAAACACAGTTAAGGCCACAAAACTACAAGAAGTGCTTAACACCAGAACAAGGGTTTTGAATCACAACCGCTTCATTTTTTAGCTCGTCTTCTCTCTTTTCTTGTTTTTTCTTGCTTGTCAAGAGCAGTTTGCCCCCATTGTACGCTTTTCGCCTGGTAAGGCAGATGTACAAGATCAGAATCATGGAAAAGCCCATCAAAGCTCCAGCAAGAATCACGAGAAAGGATTTCTCTTTGAAACTTTTATGACCTGAAATATTGATGCATGTCAGTAAAAACATTTTTAACAGAACACTTTTTCCGTTCAGGGTAGTAGGGCAAGTTTAATTGAACATCAAAAGTACGGGTAATCCTTGCTTTTGCTTCACTTCGCTCTGTGATTGGCCCAGAAACCTCGCGCCATTCTCTCAACCAATCAGATGCAAAACTAAAACCAATCACGATTTGGTCGCCCGCGTTTTCCCGCGCTTTGGACATTTTGTTCGGTCTTACTTTTTGTTCTCATTAGCTCTTAGAGCGCTTCTCGATTGATAATAATAATAATAATAATAATTGAATATTTATATTGCGCAAATTAACACGTGGATATGATCAAATAGAAAGGTAGCGCATTCTCCTCAGTTATTTTAAGACCTTGAGTGTTGATCCGGCCGAGGTTCGAACTATCGACTTCGACCTCCCGCACAACAGTCCAGCGCTCTAACCAAATGAGTCAACCGGGAGGCGGTTCGTAAAGCAAAAACCAATTGAGAGTAGCCACAACAGCCAATCAGAAGAAAGGAAAATACCGTCAATCAGAACTCAAAGTAAAAAAACGACCACGCTTCTTAAATTGCGGGAGGACTCCAGCGACCTAGCCTCGATTGCTTTTAGTTTTGCATCTGATCGATCAGAGCTTTGGAGAAACAAAAGATGGTCTGAGGGCCTCTTAATATGAGCCCGGTTTCCGAGACCTCGTCTTACCTCTAAATTCTTTGTAAAATTCCGCCCTCTCATATGAACACATCAAAAATTTTACGAAGGCCGAGGTAAGGCGAGATCTCGGAAACCGGGCCAGCCCGGTCAACCAGGCTCATATGAAGAGGCCCTTAGTCGCGGGTAATACTTTGATAGTGGTTTACCCTCTGGTCTTTCGGTCTTTCCTATTGCAGGCCAAAACATGTCATTTTTAATCCATTCTCAGACCTATCCTTCAAAGCGTCACGAATTAGCAAAACTCATTCGAAAAATTCAGATCGAATGTTTTTTTTTTTGTCAATTCTCTTTCTTTGTTTCCCTCAATCAAATACCTAAATTAATGTTGGTGGTTCCCTTGAAAACCATTTCCGATTTAAGGCCATCATGTTCATAGTTCATACTCGTTTTCAAACCACAACGGCTCAGTAAACACGCTCACTTGGGCGACACATGGCTCAATAGCTCATAAAGGCCGGAAGATACCCCAGCCTCGCTTTCATTCTGTCATTCAGGTCACGGGGGAAGGGCTAGGCAGCATAAAATTACGGCATTCAAGATGGTAACACTCGGTAAGGATTAGAATTGTTAAATTACCTTTAGAGTAATTCGCTGGACTGTATACTTTCCCGCCTCTCCAACCTAAAAGCAAAAACAGTTTTAAGAAAATGTCAGCGGTTAGAAATCCAAGCATCCAGGCCAACAAATGATTAACTGAATGGGCCACGAACAGAAAAAGGTACGAACGGACTGACGGACCCACAAACGCACCAATTTATGGATCGATGGATGGATGGATGAATGGATGGATAAATGGATGGGTGAATGAGTGAACGAATATCGAGAAGTAACAATTGATGCAGATTACATGGCATTTTACTTCAGTACCTGCTCTGAGAGGCGTATAGTCTTGCAATGGAAATTCTTGTAGATGCGTGGGCAAAGCAACAATCTAAAGGGCAAAACGTAATGAAACAAATAATGTAGCATTAAGCATGTAGAATGTCAAAGAAAAAGTATTTCCACTCACAAGCAGTAAACTAATTGAGGTGGAATGAAAGAAATTCTAAGTTACAGTGAGGGTATGCCAAAATAAAATAGAACAAGAGTTTGCTCATTTTACGAGACTGAGTTGTGATTATTTTTAAGTGAGTCAAGATCTCAATACAACGATTCACTCACGGTGAGGTAAAGAGTGTTAGGATATTTCCATCCATCTGTTTCGCTAATGTTAAAACGTGGTTTAATCTGAAAAAAGCGAAGAAAAAAACAAGAAAGAAAAAACATCATTTGCTCAACCTCTAAAAGGAAGTGAATTGTGATTAATTAGACTTACTCTTTTCCCTTTACAATGAGTGGTAGTCAGAGCTTAGCCCAGAGAAGACAAAGTACACTTAATAAGAGATAAAGATCTTCAAGCATTTTTGTATGTAATTATAAACTGGGTCAAACTTGACACACTGTCATAGTTTTTACTAAGACATAATTAATGAATTTTGATTCAGTAATTCAGCCCGTGCCATTTTCGTAACCCGAATCATCCAACCTCGTTCCCAGGGCCTTTTCCCTTTGTTGGGGGGTGGGAAAAGGCCCTGGGAACGAGGTTGTCGAATCATCAGGACATGACAACTGTTGTGAAAATATTATAATATATAGATTTAGCCAAGCCTAAAAGCGGAGCTCCCAAATTCGTAACATTAATGATAACATAAAAGATGTGCATTTGCCAAGACTTGCCTGAGACACCCCTCCCTTCGTTTTTATAGTCTTCCCTACTAGGCTTAGCCACAAGTTGCTCGGCAACTTTTCGGCAACTTTTGAGATTTTCGGCAACTTTTTAGAATTTTCGGCAACTTTGGGCTTTTTGAGGTTCTTTGTAGCCACTTTCTTCACGTTTTGAGCCACATTGGTCAATTTTCGATAGACATTTATTCAATTTATTCTAAAATACAATAATTAGGACCCCCCCCTGTGGGTTGATTTTTGTGATGCCTTATTACGAGGTCAGCGGTATCACGTTGCACGTTTTTCAAGATGGCGGACAATTCCAGTGACTATTTGTTGATCAAGTGAAATGGAAAGAACCTCTGATATTATCATTGAACTTTGACAAATAGAGTTTTGATAAGAAGCAATGTGCGAATTTTTAATCTTTAACACCCAAAAAAGTTACGAAAAGCAGAAAAATTTTGGCAACTTTTCGGCAACTTTTTGGAAATTCAGCAACTTTTCGGCAACTTTTTGAAAAAAATAGCAACTTTTTGGCACTTTTATTGGCAACTTTTTAGGGATTCATCGGCAACTTGTGGCTAGGCCTATCCCCTACCCTACCCGTGCAATCTGAAGGCACGTACGTACGTGCGTACGCTCCGTCAGTCACGTGACAACCAAACGAAAAGAGGTTGACCATATTCCATGGGTATGGGGCTCTGCCCAACGCGCGGGGAGCGTGAAGCGAGCGTGGGAGCCCCGCTATCAATTACCTCCCCATATCTAAAAACTGTGAGCTCGTGATATGAAAAGAAACGGCTAAAGACCGGGATTTCATCTGAACCGATAGCCGAGAGATGCGCAAAAGCAGGTTCGTCTATGATGTTTTTTTCTTCTAATTGTTTTTCACTTAAGGTAGAAAGAAAAAGATTCCAACCTTGGACACCAGTTTGCAGTTCGTTACTTTTGCAAATTGGTTTGAGTTATCTGAGTCTTCTGAGAACCATATTACGATGTATCCACGCCATTTAGACGTAATATTCACGTCTACAAAAGGGAGAAGAAGAAAAAAAGAAACAACATAAGATCGCAAGGAAATCACTCTTCTTAATTAACCTGACTGGTTACTGAACAAACGAAACCCTATGGGTTCCTAACGTAGCACGAAACGGCTAGGAAAGCACACAGCGGTGAAACGTCTGCGCTCGGGCGAACATTGAAACGGTTAAGAAGCGACCCACCACTGCATTCGTGCTAACCAATCCCGGGTATTTTACGACGTGCTTTTTTTTTTTTTTTTTGCTAAATACGGGTTATTCAACTATTTTTCCATTATTTGGTTTGAAATCTTTAAAGATAGGAAAAACCCAACACAAATATGAATTTTTATGTTCGCGTTCTATTTAACAATTATTCGCCGAAGGCGAGGTGAATATCGTCAAATAATCCCCGAGACGAAGTCGAGGGGATTGTTCGACAATATTCACCGAACCTGAGGCGAATAATTGTTTTAGTATAATTTCAGTGCTCAACAACGGAGAAATTTCTAAAATCATAACATTTTAGTAACATTTATTAACATTTTATTTTAACATTTTATATATAAACCGCGTGGGGCGGTTTATATGGCGTCACTAAGGAACAGCTCGACCAATCAGATTGCTGGAAACTCTTTGCTCAGCTCTGAAAATTATATTTATTTACTATTAAACTCAATGAATCATGTTTACTTGATTGACTGCAATAGCATATAAACAGAGGTATTTTCTTAGCTTAGGTTCCCTTCAACTTTCAAAGGGTTGTACCCGTTTTGCATAGAAGAAACAAAAATATGCGTTTATAAAGGCAAAGGAACACAGGATATCAGAGTAGTCTAAGTCTTATTACATGTGACTCAAAAGCAAACCCAGGTTGTTACCTTTTGGTCGTGTCCAGTTCACTCTCGCTACCCATTCCTGGCTGTCTCCTTCCTTCACCTGCACGAATTTTACATCCACCTCTGTCACCTCCCCTGGTACGATTTCGTCTGATCTGGGAGCATACTGATCTCCTTTCGGACAAGCTATGACCAGAAAGACAGATGCTCTTGATTACCATGACAATTATTACGGTACAACAACTAATCATACAAGCCAAAACTATTCGGTTTGCTTAGTGTGGGAACCGGAGCCCGCGCTCATCCCCGAACCCAGTCTCTTCTCGGGGAGGAACGAAAAAGACCGGACTCGAGAGAGCAGTGGAAATCGTGCCTAGATCTAATACGGTGCATCATTTTGCGTAACCGAACAGGCAAAAATCGCATACTTAATTGATAATCGACTTCCATAGCGCGTATCGATTGAGTGTCGTGAACCAAAACCAAAGTAATTCCAATGACCAATTGAAGCAAAAAGTAGATACCACAAGGAGTCCGGGCCAATTATAACTCAAAGCAAGAATAAGCACTCTTCTAAAAGGGCGAATGACCAAGCCTTTAGTAGCTTCAGCTTTGTATCGAATTGGTTGATTGAGAAGATGGCGCGAGTTTTCTCGGCCGATCATAGGGTGATGTGAAATAAAACCAATGAAGTCTTAAATAACTTTTGACGTTTATTTAAAAACTGCCATAAAACTACAAAGTTTGACTGGGAACCTAAAAAATAGCCTTGGTACCCGGCAAAACCAATCGCCATCTTTAATTCCCAGGCATTTCTATACACTACTAAGAAAAACCGAGTTTGTGGGTTAAATTCGAGTCTACCTTTGGCTGTAAATAAATTTTAGACATAAGAGAAGCTTTACCATTTAACAAATAAACATTTCATTCAAGCTACATTATAATATATGTCTTTCGTACCGTTTTCAGAAGCATTTGTTGCAGTTGGTGAATCTACAGAGTTCAAGAATTCAGAGGTCGAGCGCGTCCTGGGACTAGAGGTCGTGGTTCTAGCATTCTCCGAATTCTCTAAAATCGAAAAAAAAAAAAAAAAACCCTTAAATTTAGTGATAATACTCATAGATACTCTTTGAGGCATTGCTCAACAAGAAATCTGTATTGAGCCGTTTGATGAAGCTAGTGATAAAAGTTTTTTTCGACTAGAATGAGAAAAAAAAATTACGCCTTCAGGCAGACATTATCCGTTTGCAGTTTAATTAAAGCGTTGCTGAGTTTTACCTGAAGATTGATTTGCACTACCGAGACTACCTCCGGGGCCTATGGCGTTTGAAGAATGTTCGTATTAAATGCAGAGTACATAGTCCAATAATTTGGTGTGATAAAAATTATTTGTTTGTAAATTTTATTCTAGAATTGGACTAAATTGCCTTAGAAAGCTTTTACCTGGCCTGTAGATCACACAGCATGTTAGGTCATCGTATCATGATTACGAAGTTCTCCTTTTTCACCGCCTCCCCCCCCCCCCCGAATTATCTCGTCCTTTAAAAATAAAAGCTCGAATTCAAAGCGATTTGTGACATTGCACCTCCTCACAAAACGGTTGCTTCTCAGTGTTACTGCTTTCAGCTCTGAAAAGGGGAATAGAGCTCTACATAATCTTTAAAGGCTCGAAGTATCAAGCAAGGCCGTAAATATAAATTAATAAAGAGCAGACCTCAAACTCTAATAGGTACATTGCGCAATATTTGCTGACGTCTCTCTTCGTGATTAATACTTTAATTGACTTGTGAAAAGATTATTGTTTATTCTATGCTGTGCGTGATCCAAAAATTGCATGCAGGCAGAAAAGTACCAATTCTGTCAGTCACAGTCCGAGAGAAAGATAGGCAATGATGCTTCAGAGTTTTTCCTTTGTTTAGTTGACAAGTGTGGCGGAAATATTCAGCCTGTAATCGGCTAAAGAAAGCATTAATGCCTGCAACGTTTGAAAGAAAAGCAATGAATGAATCTTCAAGTGGTATTCTTGCAAATCTTTCACGGTGTGTAGCGATAACATAAAGTGTTGAAATTATGCCCATTAATTTTCAGCGTGCTCTTCATAACAAGACCCATACCTTCGTTCGAAGATCGGCACTTTCCCAAACACGCCCGCCTTGACTGCTGAAAATCGAGAGGAAAATATTCAAGTTCTTGTCAAACAAGGAGAAAGTGACATGGCTTAAAATTTACAAGTGAGAAGTTGAAGAAACACAGATGACGCGATACAACAAAGGCCTCTAATTTTTGTTTGGAGACAGCAACGGACCCGGATGGAAAATAAATTGGACAAGAACCTCCACTAACTGAAAGTTTATACAAGGACGAACTGAGAGAGCAGGACATCCTAGCCAGGATATTTTTTTTCGTTGAGTTTTTCGTCTGTAAAATTCCGTGCATTTTTTTTTTTTTTCAATTTGTATCGTCTTGCGAACTAAACAATTATTAATGAGTTTTAAGACGTCCTATTTCTTGTGATAACTTGATACAGCTTCTATACTGATTTGCACGGAAAGTATTGTTCTATCATGTCGTTTCATATTTACACGACACGTTATTAGCCCTGTCTCAAAATACCTCGTAATTTGAGTGCCTCCATGGATTCTAACAATATCAGGAATAAGTGCATTCCCTTCTTATTGACCTCGCGACAGCAAGTTCCCAGAAAAAAACTATGATATCCTAATTAGCTTTAGATGACAAGGAACCACTAATAGCTGTAAAAACTGAAACGATGTCAGAAATGGCCAATAAAAATTAAAGTCAGCTAGATTTTTTCATATCAATTAAGCTTTCTGTAAAAAGCTTGTGAGGTCAACCTAACATGATAAAACAGTTTACTTAAAGATATGTCTATTACTTGTTGAAACGTCGTATATGAAAATATATCAGTATGACTTTTAAAAAAAGAGAAAACATCAGGAAAAGCCTAATTCCCTTTAATAAATGAATACTAAGGACAGAATTGTTTTCGAAACTTACTATAAAATTCTAATTGATCAAACTTGTAAATACGTGTGTCCAAAATCTTTTTTTGTAATGTGGGTTCATTTCGTGAAGCGCGCCCTTTCAAAAATATACAAATCGAATCGTCTACAAAGAACATAAGAAAAGGCAGTATTGTACAAGATTTTCAAAAATCTACATTTCTTTATTGGCCTTTTTTGTCTAGATATCACCTCTGGCAGCTGCTGACTTCATATCGAAAATTGAAAATTATCAATACTCAGGCAAAGTGATTTTTATGTGCCCCTCAATTTAAAGACAATCTCAGAGTGAAAAAACTTACTTGTAAATTCCCCATGGAAGCTTCCGTGGAAACATAATTCTGACATCTTTGTTCACAATCGTTCAAGCCTCGGTTCGATTTTTCCTTGTGAAAATTACCAAAACATTGCGCCCGGGTAATAAAGCAAACCCAAACAACGCTCACCAAAACAGACTGAAATTTTGAGCGCAACATGTTGAATCGTTTCAATTAGCAAGATTTACGGACGCCCACCACCGTTGCAATTCTCGCCACGAAATGAATATTGCTTGAACCAGAGGAAGTTCTAAAACTGGATACTAACCATTAGCGTTCCAAGTTATTCAACGTTCGATAAACAAGATTACCATTCATTTTAATACAGGAAGTTGTAACTACATCTCAATGTTATGCGGAACTTACAGTTGCTGTCTGCTTTTTATAACGATAATTACGATTTTGACAGCCACATGATCTATGTAGGATCGGCGCTGCGCTTAAACTTGTTTTGACTTGAAATCAATTTTTTCTTTTGGTTAAAAGAGGTTATTTTGTCTCAGCAAACCAGGTTGTTTATCATTGCCTTTGCTCTTCCTGTTTTTCTTCTTCCGGCGTGTTATCTAAAACTTGTGAAAAGACGAGTTTTCGATAGCAAAGCCGGGTAGAAATTAAATTTCCCTGAAAGCAAGTTTATTTCGCGGGCCTTAAGAGCAGGGGGTGGAATGAATCGGATGGAGGGAGGGGAGGTTGAGGACTTAGGGGGTAAGAGAGAAAGAGAGAGAAGGATCTTTTCAGTTACCAGTATTACGATTTTGTTCTTTCACTGATATTTGACGCTTCGTTGCGGATAGGTATCAATAAGTGGTCTAGGTTTGTCTTGTAAGCGATACTATCGCTATCCACTCTCTCTAAGCCAAACGCTATCGCAATCAGCTTCTTAAATATTCATTACAGTTTCGTGGGTTTAGTGCAAACTTCCGTGGGTTCACATTCTGTGGAGTACATTAACCCACCCTAACAAAAATAAACTTTTCTCTTGTCATGTATCATATCGCCTTTATCGAGGAGCGAATTTTTGCAAAGTCCTGTTGAACGAACTTGACACGATACGGAAGACAGCTGCTTAAAACAAAAGACGCAAGTTGAAAACGCGCGAGTTCCTTGCGTGTATCCTCGCTCGCTCGTGACAATAGAAATAGAGACGTGTGTACAATAAAATTGAAACAAATCCGCAGTGTCTCTTGCTTTTCCTACATTTGTGCTTGTTCAACTTTTTAATATTTTAAGACCACAAAAATATGAGGAGGCCATAATTAATAGTTCTGCACAAACCCGTTTCATTCCTGGAGAGGACCCTTCAATCATTTAGCTTTTAACAGGAGAGAAGAGGAAGTTCTCCCTAAACACGCTAGGGGTAATTTTTGAGGTCTTGAATTTTCGACAGGGTGTACAGCGTATTCAGCGTCTTATACATGGTATTGCTGAAAGCACCACCAATTTTGAAATCTAATTTTGAAATCTAATTTTAAATGTGCTGTCTGAATACGGAAAACCGAGCCACGTGGTTGACCACCATATCCCTTACAGTTTTTCGTCCATAAAGGGCAATGAAATAGAAGGATTTCAAAAGAGTTTCCTTCATCCCCACTTCCGGCTAAGGGCCTTTACCTGACCCCGGCGCGTGTTA